GGGGGGGAGGGGGGAGTTCATTCAAATGGCAGTTCAGTTGTCAGGGTTTGTGACAGATTTTGGTGTTCCTGCTCAGTTTTTCCTGACTGTCATTGGAAGCTCTCAGGAATTCAATGTTATGGAGGCTGCTGTGTTTTGCCAGATTATTTTGATGTGAGAGAAAATTTGCGTTTTTGTCTTCCTCTGTTTCATTTCAGTGGTCTTTGCTAAAGGAATGAGTCTTTCCAGGTTTCCTTTTCTGCTCATGTGGTCAATGAACAAGATTTTTTTGTTTTTCTCACTTGATAAATTCACTGAATAGTTACATTGGTAGAGTAAGAAAGGCAAACTATTGAGGTACTGAAAAAATATTATGCGTTTGATAAATAAATCATGTGAGACTATGATTTAATCAGTTGCCTGATGACCCGTCATGTTTACAATACCTACCATCTCATTAAGTCATGATGTTACTGTGAAAAATAAATATGGGTTGTGATTCTGAAAGTTAAATAACCCGAGCTAGCCCTTTATTTCTTCTGAACACTAACGTTTTGTGAAGGTCCAAAAGATGAAACATGCAGTCCATCATGTTCTGTTTACATTGTGAGTGCAGTGTTGACATCCTTTTTCTCACTTGTTATTTTCTGTGTTAATCAAAAGAGAAAAACGAGTATTAGAATAGGTCCTGACCTAGGAGGACCACCATGTTTTTATATAATATTTTGCTTTCTGACTTTGTCTCTTTTCCAAATATTCCTTGGTGCTATACCGATATTATGGCGGGGTTCTTTACCTCTCTGTGTGAGTGTCAAAGTGTGTGGAGAATTGTTGCTGGTTGTCTAGATGAAAGATTGTCTTTCTTTTTTTGAGAGAGAGAAAGAGGTAGAGAGAGACATAGTTTTTAGTGATGATTTGACAGTTTGATATTTTTTCATCGCTTGACAGATAGGGAGAGGGAGAGTTATAAGTTGATCATTGTTTTAGAGTTTGACATTTTTTCTTTTTCTTCTTGAGAGATAGAGAACGACTGAGTGAGAGAGAGAGGGAGACCAGAGGTTCTTTACCTCTCTGTGTGAGTGCCAAAGTACGTGGAAAATTGTTGCTGGTTGTCTGGATGAAAGAATTTTATTTAAATTTTTTTAGAGAGAATGAGGTAGAGAGAGACATAGTAACATAGTCTTTAGTGATGATTTGAAAGTTTTTGTATTCTTTTCATCACATGACAGATGGAAAAAGGAAGAGTTATTAGTTGATAATTATTTTAGAGATTGACATTTTTCTTTTTCTTCTTGTGAGATAAGGGAAAAACTGAGTGAGAGAGAGAGAGAGGGAGAGACTTAGTTGATAATTTTTGCCTGAACTGCTTGGAGTAACGGATACGCTTTTTTCTTTTTTTTAGTGGCATAATTGATTTGTACTGTGATTGACTTGCAGTTCTAACATGCTTCTATAATTCAATAGTTTGTACCCTTGGGATAATGAGAGAAATTAATATTATTGCTTCACACTGCAGCAATGTGTTTATATTTTCTTTGTTGACTGAACCAAAACATTATGTCTTCAAAGATTCTTTGAAGCTTATTTAACTTTATTAGCATGTCCACCTTAATTAATTAATATTTTTGCAGTTCTACAATGGTAAAAAGATTCTGACCCAAGATTTAAGACAAAACACCACCTTTTAATGTTTTTCAGTAAAATTTGTGGAGGAAAATTAAGGCAAAATAAGACGTGTTAATCTTTTGCTCTAAGATTTGTGGAGAGACTTGAAATTGAAAATGCGAAAGATCTGACCAGGGTTTTCATATTCTTTTATCATGTTGAAAAGACTTTGCTGCCGAATTAGGTAACCTTTTCAAAGTCCTTTACATGACTGTGAGCCAGGAAATTTTCAAAGCCAGTATCCAAAGTGTTTGGTGTTTTCAAGGGACCTGAATATTTTTACGGGTGAACGTATTGTTTATTATGTATTCTTGACAATTTTTTAATTCCTACATGCCTTTGTATGATATTGAGACACTGGATTAAGATAATTTGCACATTTTAGAAGTACGGAGTTGGGTTTCTGTTTTCTTTTAATCTTAAAAGTCACGGATAAGTGAACTTTACAAAGAACCTTCTTTTTTTTGTTGTTGTTGTTGTCCTTGTTGATTAATCAGTTTTTTAACCATTGATCTACCTACATTGTACAGTAGACACTGTACATTTTGTTTTCTGTTGAGAAGATTTGTTTAAGACTTACAACAAAGTTGCCATAGGAGCATTGTGTGCATGTTAATATGAGTGGGAGACAGATATGAGGCTCCGCTACTCGCTGTTTAAAAGTGTTTCAACAAGAACTATCTTTCTTCATTTTTTTCCTTTACTTCAAAATTCATACGCTGCAAATTTATCATTTTTTAATTCCTGTTTTCGATCCCAACCCAAAAACTTCACTAAAAGATGGAAAGTTTATAGTGTATACTTCCTGGAAGTTACGGCAATATCTGTCAGCTGATTCTAAGTTTTCAGCTTGTCTCGTTTTTGTCTTTCTGGGTTTCTGAGAAAGAAAGAGAGAGAGTTTGTGTTTGTGTGTGTGTATGTGTGTGCATGCGTGCAATTGTGTGTGAGAGAGAGAGAGAGTGAAGAAGAAACAGAAAGAGAATCTCAGACTTTTATTGATATTGTAACTACAAGACGTCAAGAAATCCATGTGTAGTGTGTCTGCCCTTTTTTGCTTTATATTCTTTACTGACTCTCTCCGTAGTCCGTAGATTGATCTGTACTGGCGCATTTCTCCCTCCTACTAATAAACAAAAAGATACATGTACCCCGAGATCTGTAAGTTGAGCTGTTTTCTCATGTTCCAACGTGGATCCACTGTTCTCATTACCACATGCTTCGTGAACAATAAATGCTCTCCATAAATTATTTATGTGATACAATTGTGATGATCATACGGCCGATTGGTACCACCTGTTAACGTAAATGAATGAGCTTCTATTTTGAAGACATGAATAGTTGAATAGGTACATTTTGCTTATTATTTGTAAGAAGGGGTTGATGATTGACTGAACATAAATAACTATTTGCAAGAAATCAAAGTATCAAATAGTGAAAGAATCACATGCTTCCGTAGATGAATGGGCCTTTTTTATAGGATATTATATTAGAGCCTGTTTTGTTTATTGCATTAGTGTCCTTTTCCTAGGGCTGAACATCTGGTCTTTCACCACAGCATATGGCAGAGATGGAAAAACATCCCCTATAGATGTGTTACTAAATGATACTGATGTCAGTGGTGGAGTAGCCAGGCTGTCAGATGTAACTCTTTATGTGCCATGAGTCATCAGCACAATCAAAAAGTGTGGAGAAAGGCACTGATGAACCGGTGCTTGGTATAGAAAGAGTTCAGTTAAGATTGAGTGCTCATAGGTTCATGTCCTGGTAGTGCTGTCTAAAAACTGTGTCTTTGAAGAGAAGGAAGCACTTTTTTCCCCGAATACTCTTCTCTCCTCCTGAGCATGGCTATATATACGGACTAGCTGTCTCTTTCTGCCTGGGTTGTTGTAAGACTGCGGTAGACTCGCATCCTGTCAAGACAATACTGTAGTTTCATCTACTTTGCTTCACATGTGAACTTGAACATGCATCCTCTCTACCACTGGCCATTATCGACCCTCAAAGCAAACTGTCATAGGCCTGCTTTTCCCAAGTGTCAGCCGCATCATTTGAACGAGTCCCAATCTCACCCACAGAAACCAGCTGGCTTGTTTCTTTCAGCTCTTGTCATCTGTGCATAAAGTGATTCCGTATTTGTAATGATGTGTCTATGCAGAGGAATTTACTGAATTTGATTTCCTTTACTTTTGTTGAATATTTAAATAAACTTGACAATAACACTATCATTACCATGTCAACATTTATGCATATATATGTGGATCATGTGGCACGAGATGGGAGCTTGTCATGGCATCATGTTTCATGTCAATTCATGAGATTGGCAGCTTTCACACTTAAGTGGTAACGGTCTGTCTTGTTTTGATATATGAGTTTTTCGACCTTCTAGTGATTGTCATTTTGGAGGTAGAGTGACTGTGATGTAGCGGTTGATTAGATACTTCGCTATGGTACACAGGAGACCTGAATTCGATTTCAAAGTGGGGAGAATTTTAATTGAATATTTATGTCTTCTTTCTGGGATGTTGTTGTATCCCTCTCAGTCCTAGCTGGCTTTGACAGGCATGGTTGATTGAAGCTTGCCTCCTAAATTATCTCAATTGGGGGGTTTTTTCAATGGGGAAGTTAAAAAGACCTGCGTTAAAAAAAAAATTTTAATTATGAAGCAGGTAGAGTGCATAGGGCCAAGTGTTTTCCTAAGCTATTTATAATTTAGTATTGAGCAGAGAGTGTTAAATGATAAAAATGGCATTTATGCATATATAGCGTTCTTTTTCAAGATCCAATAATTGAAATTGAAATGTTATTGTTATGAAGTCTTTTCGTACAGGAGTTCCCAAATTTTCTCAGTGTTTCTTTCTTTCATTTACAAGTGGAGCTCAAACAAATGTCAATGGTGTTATGCTATAAGGGTGTAACTGATTTTTTAAAAACTTTCAGAGCACACAAAGAAACAACCTATCTAAATTAGATGATGAGAAAAGACTCAAGTCAGTCTGAAGTACCTTTGTACATGTGCTATTTATAGCGGATGCTGAATCATGATTTCTATCGAGGGCTTAAAAATTGCCCTCAGCAATAGGTTTTAGAGCACAAAAAATAACAGGGTTGACCCATTTTTTTCCAGTGACGCAGGTTAACCAGAACACCGTCGTTATTTTTTGTCTTTTGCCACTTCAGTGTGAAAGCTCTCCAAGACCAAGTGTGATATGGATGCCGATCGTTATACAGTGCTCTTATACGACATGGAAACTGTTCTCACAAGAAGTATTTTTGAACCAAACTGAGGCTTTGTTTACTATGGAATGTTAGGGTGAGTGTAAAGTATCTTGTTACTTTGACTTTGATGCAATGTGAATAAATACTGAATATTTGCTGACATGAAACTTTTCGTTAAGTTTGTGTTTATTCTTCTCTGTAATTTTTGAAGAAAACTTGGTGGGGTTGTTTTTTTAAAACATTTTCTTTATATTTTTATGGACTGGTAGGGAAATCTTTTTTACATTTTTTTAAACGTGGTTTTGGGAAGGGGCTCCTGCTAAGAGGTTCTCTTTCTACTTCTTTGCCCAGTTGAGAGTTGCTATTTTTTTGTTTCAGTAAGAGTTTTACGGCACTTGCAACACAATAAGGTCATATATTTATAAGAGCCCAAGATTAGAGGAGTTACAAGAGAGTAACAAACTAGAACTGTGTCAGTGTACCGTTTCAGCTACCGGGAATTCATTTTTCTTTCTTTTTTCTATTTTACTACTTTGAGTTTGAGTAAAGAGAATTACACAAATCATCGACACAATAAGAACATCTATCATCTTTATCGCTCTTCCTTTTTAACGTGTGTTACTGTCTAATCTTCAGCACTTACATGATCTAATTGTGTTGCCAGTGATGTAAAACTCTTACAAAAATGGGCTGATCCAAGAATGTCATGCTCATAACTGCCTGAACTACAACAGGGAACTTCTGCTTTTTCTGTCCTAATCCAGACTATCGTCATTTTCCTCTACTTCTTTTGTATGTTTGTCACACTCTTGTGACCCGTTATTTCCGGGGTGCCTTGATAGTCAAAGCAGAGTATGTGCTGCTGAAGCTAAAGAGGTGGGCAGAGTAAGTCTGATTCCCTGTAAGGACTTCTCTGTTGACATCCATCCACTCCTTGGTGCTCATATGACCTTATGCAGTTGCGAGCGCCGTAAAACCTCTACTAAAACAAATATAACTCTTACAAAGACTTTTAAAAATCTGTAGTTTTTGCTACAAGTTTTTGTGCTGTTGATATTTGAGGGAATGTTTTGTTGCACAGCTAGCGTTTGTTTTGTTTTTCGTACAGACAATCAGTTTAGTTTTAGTAGACGTTTTACGGCGCTCGCAACTGCATAAAAGGTCATATGAGCGCCAGAAGATTAGAGGTGTTACAAGAGAGTAACAAACATAAAAAAGAAAAAGGGGAGATAAGGACGACAGATCTTTGACAGGAAAGAAGAAGCAAACCACACCAGAGCACCCGCCAACCACCCACCCACAAACAATCAGGTAGAGGAAAAGCATAGCAACTGCACTGATAGAAACCACGAGGAGAGGAACCTGGTGGGAAAAGTGGCAGTCTATCACTTGCTGAAAAAAACAGCCGTCACTACAGCATACGAATGAATTGATAAGAAAAGACAAATGAGAAGCAGCAAGAGAAAACCATCGCAGACATCATGAGACAAAACAAGCAACAGGCAGGGGGAAAAAGTTCAAAGAAATAAGAATACGAGTGATTTATCAAGCATCATCAAAAAAAAAGTTGTATATAGAGATGCTGCACTGTAATCTTTTAAAGTTTTTTTGTTTTGTTTTGGGTTTTTTAAACACATCTAATACAGAAATAGTCTTCGAATTTGTCTTTTTTTTAGTTTCTCAAAACCCCCACCCCAATCCCCCGAAGAGTATGCAGACTATATCAGGGATATAAAAAAATCATGAAGCAAAACACTGAAAGATCAAACTTTTCTCTCGAATATTCTTTAATTTTAATGTCATAACAAGCAGCAGCAGCAAAAACAAGATGAATGGTTTTAAAGATGAAGATGTATGCCAAGGTCATTGTTAAATTCAGACAAGAGCTCTGAAACTTGGAGCTATGACACAAAAACAATTCACACCATATTATTATTATTGGGCATAGATCTTGAGCTAAGCCCTTTTCACAAACTCGCATACCAGTACAGCTTTCTTTGCGGTCATATGAAACTCAAGCCCCCACCAAACACATATACGTCCAATAAGAAAATTTGAATTTCATACACGACCTCTCAAAGTGAAAAGGTATCTCCTCCCTTGATTTCCTATTGTCTTCACAACAATTCCTCTTTCTTGCTGCCTCTAGATGTTTCCTTTTCTCCCAAACCTGATCTGTGGCTTTTTCATATTTTTTATATAAAGTCTTTTCTCTTCAGCCACTTTTGAACCAGTTTCATTGAAACCAGAAGCTCTCAGAAACCAAAATCAAGTTGCTTCAGGCCTTTTATTGGAGCAAAAACTGTCCACGTTTTATGTAACTTTCTTAGTCAAATAAATATTACCTCAAAAACTCAACAACAAAAAACAAACTTAAGAATCCCTGCGTAAATCATTTAATATATATTACAATATATGTACAGTAGTTCGGACTGATAAATCAACAAACGTAAAAAAAACAAAAGTTTGGGCAAGTTCTCCACGGCTCTGTTGCTTAACATGTACACAGAAACCTCAGCCAAAGCATCATGTACCAAGTGTAAGTGACAACATAGTCAGTAACAATAACATAAGGAATAATTTTGTAATATATATTTTTATGTAAAGAGTTATGAAATAAACAGAGATGGAATTCTCTTTGAAAATTCTAGATTAAAGTCTGGAAACAAAAACTGCATGCAAACAAAAGCCAGTAATAATAATTGCAATGTGAATTTAAGTCACTACAATTATATTGCACATCATCGACTTTGTCTGTCTTCTCATGACTTTTGCTACGAAAACTTTGCATGAAAGACAGTAGCTAATGAGGTGAAAATAACATGACAGCTTGTGCATGCAAGCGCACACACAAATGCATGCACTCACAACACCCACACACACATACGTAAAGCACACACAAACACCTCAATGACCAATAATAACATAAAATTCCTAGAATTCCATCACAATATTTCTTTCTCTCTAGATCCTATCCCACTCTTCTCTTTGCCTCTTGGTCTCTCTCTCTTCTCTTCTCTCTCTCTCTCTCTCTCTCTCTCTCTCTCTCTCTCTTTCTCTCTCTCTCTCCTGCCCTCCCTTTCTCCTTCTTCCTTCCTTCCACTCTCTCTCTTCCTCCTTCCCTCTCTCTTCTTCTCTGTCCATCATCAATCCTCCACAACAGCCCCACAGAAACACCTTTAAAACGAGAAAACAAGTCAGGGAGTAGCAATTGTAAAATATATAAATAACCCAGCCACATCACAACTTGGCATTGACCGTGACTGTCTTAGAGTGAAGGTTGATGCTCACTGAAGGCAGGGGAGGAACGTCAATAAACTGACCTGTGGACCAGATATAAAATAATAATGTAGATTATTTTTATAGCACCCACTCCCGTGGTAACACAGCTCTAGGCACTTTACATAAATGATAAATGCATGTACGAACAATATTCATGCACGCACGCACCCATGCACACACACACATTACAGTCACGCACACATGTGTGCACACATGCACGCCGAACACACACACACACATATACTTGCTTATCACACACACACACTTAAACATCGTTATGAAATGAGCACATACAAATTCACATAATAAAATAATACGCACAATACAATTAGCAAAATACACAAATGGATACATATAAACAATTATTTTCACAAAATAGCAAATCAGCCTAGATTGATTTACACATTTTTTTAAAAACTAAACAAGAAACATAAATTAAATACAAGGGAGTTGCTTAAACTGAAACCTGCAGGACTGCCGGATTTCCTTCCATTCAGACGTGTTTTCAGTTTATAGTGATTGCTCAAATAGAGGAGGGAAAAAAATCATCGATTCTATTGTGGGGTGTTTATTGCTGTTTTTGGATTAACCATGTCCGGTTTAAGCGGAATTCATTCTAATGACTCCACAGAATTATCTGTCATAACGCATATATACAGTGGCGTCCAAAAGAAACTTGAAAATGCATTGCCCTCTCATGCAGCATACCAATGTTAAGGGAAGACCCGGGTCAGTGATCTCACAGAATATCGATAAAATTTTTCATTTTTTGACTGAAAAACATCCTTTGACATCTGTTCTGTCAGGTCACAATGACAAAAGTGTTGAAAAAACACCCTAAATGACCAAAAAGGGCATTTGAAAATTCTATGTTGAACTAAAATTACTTTTTAAAATTCCTGGGGTTGTCTTGTTTTTCTCAAAATCTGCTTTCTGACATATGTACGCAAGGAGTCTTCAAAATCTACGGAAGCTAGAAGCTTCACATTTCGTATACAAGTGCTTTAAGATCTATTCTGGTGATCTATGCACGGAAATTGGGGAAATATAGGTAACTTGTGGAAATATTCAAATGTTTTTGTAACATATATATCCCAAAGTTTCGTCAACTAACTGTCAGGGGTCCATTGATTTTGGGTTTCACTTTTTTTATTTTTCAAGATAGATCAAAATCATGACAAAGATCCACAGTCCATTGAGGTTTGCACCTGTGTGCCAAATTTCATACCTGTAGTTTCACTATTTTCTATGAAATTCATCCTTACTAAGAAACTGGTTTAAAAATTCAAGATGGCCATCATAGAGATATCAGAAAAAATCAACAAATTCAACCTTAGTACATCCTGTTTACCTATGAACCTCTTGCACAATTACGTGAAAGTGAATAAAAGTCATTCATTTCGAAAAATTTTCCGGGACTGTATGTCTCCCTTAAAGCTAAATAAATTATGCATCATCTGACATATTAATTCATCTATGTCAAGAGATGCCTGAGATATGGTCACTCAAAATAGACCTTAAAAAATCAGGCTTAGAAAAATTGTGTAAAATCAAAGAAACGTAAAATTGTCTTTGCGCATGTATTGAAGAGCATCAATATTGATAGAATGGACATACATTGCATATCCAATTAATGGAGAACTTTGTCCCTGCAACAAAGACTATTTTATTACGACAGTTTCAAACAGAGCGGAAAACAGAGCAATCACATTCACAATTACCATGAAAAACTTGGACTTAACATTAAATGTTCTAATTGTTATTTTGTTTACGAGCCATTGACTTTGTGTAGCGCACGAACCATTAGTGCATCAACTCTACTCAATTTGGGACATAATTATCTGTCATTTCATCCCAAATGTCACAGAGAGTTGCACACAAAGGGTCTGAAGAGGGAGCAAAGTCGCTTTTTTTTCAGCAGCTGTTTCAAGCGTCACATACCAGTAAGATTCATATCCGGGCTATTGATTACTGGTGCACTCCAATATTGATTTAATTTGGTTTTCCAAGAATTGTCTTGTGAGATTGGCCTTGGCAAGAAAGTGCTTTGCTATGCATGGAGTTGTCTACTTGAATGACACCATGACGAAAATAAGGGTAAGACATGACGTCCCAGCACCTGTGCCATGTAGTCCACTAAACCAAGCCATCCAATGATTCTCACAAAGGCGGTTTTGTTCATTCCACTCAAGACCACCCAAAAACCATGGCAGTTTCTTGAACTCTGTACCTCACTGACATGATTATGTCCAAAATCTAACTAACACGGTCCATGTACCAAAAAGGTTTCCTGCACCAAACAAAACCAATAGCTCCAAAACAAAAACAAAATTGTAGTAAAGAATCAATGTAATGTTAAGTTCAGGTTTTGTGCTGTATTTGTAACTGCTCCGTTTTCCAATCTGTTTGAAAATACCATCAGAAGACGCTGTTCATTGCAGAGACAATAATATTCTCTTTTCATTTGACATTCAAAACATGTCCATTTCTCCAAAGTTGAAGCACTTCAATACACCCAACAATTGCACTTTTACGTCTCTTTGATTTCGCACAATTTTGCCCAGCCAGATTATTTAAGGTCAGTTTTGAGTGACCATATCTCGGACGTCTCTTAACGAAGATGAAATATTAATGTTTTGTTTGAGCAGAGGTTTTACGGCGCCCGCAACTGCATAAGATCATATGAGCACCAGAAGATTAGAGGTGTTACAAGAGAGTAACAAACACAAAAAAGAAGAAGGAGAGATAAGGACGATAGATGTTTGTTAGGAAAGAAGAAGCAAACCACACCAGAGAACCTGCCAACCGCCCACTGAAATATTTTCAAGTTTCTTTTGGACGCTATACGGATAACAATAACAACTGTATCAAACAACAGTAAATTATTCTGATTTTTGTGAGCAGCCCTCCATGTTCTTTTCTTCTGTTACCTTACATGCATTTAAAGATAATTGGGAAGAAAAGGCTTTCACTTCTACAGTGGTGCTGCTATAAGAAACATCAATAAGCTAAAAAAAAGTTTTAAAAATCAGGAAACCACTGGACTTGAATTTTTGCTCACAATATATGATATTTTTGTTGAATATTATAATGAACTCGTTACACTTACCCAGCTGATCTGTGATATTAGAAAGCCGTCTCGTGTTTGGGTACATGTAGGCAACGCCGTCCCTGGAAATAAAACATTTACTTGTATGAGCTGACAAGAAGGACAAATGCATAATCATACTGGGCTAAGAATGTTACATTCACAATAGGTAGAAACATAGGAGAGACATTAAAGGGGGAAAAAAAAGTGTGAAAGTCACGTGACTCCAAACACCAATTAAACAAGCCTTTCATCAAACAATGAAACAACAGGTGCTTCACCAAGACGACAAAATTTTACCTGTTTCAGACAAGGGCCATACTGACAAATCGATTAGCATGTAAATAAAGGAAAAACACGACTAAACAGTAATCTTTCTCTCTCTTTCTCTCACCCCCCCCCCCCCAAATCCCTCCCTCTCTCTCTCATATACACACAGAAACACTCACGAACAAAAGCAAATACAGGCGAACACACACAAACAAACACACACACACACACACCCACACCTTCACACAAACCCACACATACCTTCTCTCCTTACAGACACCCCCCATGTGGAAGAGGGCGTGCAGGCCATTGTTCATCATGTCCAGGGAGAGCATCTCGTAATGTTTGACCACTCCCTCCTGGATGAGCCTGGCGGTCAGCATCTGTGCCTCCTTGACCAGAGTCTTCTGTGTCTTGGCCAGAGGCTTCCCGCCCACCTTGGGGTGGTTGGACAACAGGTACTGGCACAGGATCTGAGAAAACAAAGACAAACAAACAAATGAATATTCAGACACAGAGCTCCAACTGAGATGATTTCATGGATTTTCTTGAACAGCCAGAATATAATCTGTGCTGTCATTCAGAATTCGCTTTAATTCTTATTTTTTTAACAATATGGATTTAAATCTATCTTGTTTATAACACCAAAAAATTAACAATTGGTAACATGAAAGAAGCATGGATAGTGAGATTGAATGCAGAAAAAGCATGTGTATCGTAGAGGGATTTCAGTAATATTTCTGCGTGAGAAAATGACTCCGACTCTAGATAGATCTAAAATTGCTGGTGATACTACAGGCTACCATTCGAGAACTACACCTTCAAATAGCGAATTCTCCCAAAGAAAGGAAGTGTAACATGTCCATTTTTTACTTGACCAGTATTATAAACACAGATTTGGAGGACTGGATGGAAATGTGTATTAAATTAAGAGAAATGAAAGCACCACGCTGTGTTGTTCTGGTGGATGGGGGTAAACGGAAACAACACGGAGCGTGTCCTTTTGGCCGATAGGAATTTAAAGTCTCAAAATTTCCCCCAGACCAGTGACTGACTAACATCTTGTTTTACAGGTGATCTAGTATCTGCTGGTCCGCTTGAAACAACAAAACTATGAGATGCTCCTCCTTCATGCATTTAAATGAATGTTTAAGGGCTTCTTGACCTTACTCCCTGAGCCCACAGGACCCCTTAGTTTCAGCTCTTTTAGGTTCAACAGCTAGATCTACAAAATCTGCGAGGTACATAATATGTGTGTTCAGTGCAAAATGAAAGTCCTGAAATGCTATGTTTGGTCAACTCTTCTGTATGGCTGTGAATGCTGGACAATCACTAAAGACAGTGAAAATAAAATTGAGGCAACAGAAATGTGGTTTCTTAGGAGACTGCTAAGAGTATCGTGGAAGGAAAAGAAATCAAATGAGGTAGTGCTTGATGAAGCCCACGTGGGACGCTCAATGTTAAAAACAATCAGGAAATGACAACTGCAGTTTTTGGGACACCTGAATAGACATAAGGGTCTTGAACATCTAGCTCTCACTGGCGAAATTGAGGGCAAGCGAGGCAGGGGTAGGCCCAGAACAACATACTTAGGGAACCTAAACAAATGGGTAACAGGGAAAAATCAGGGAAACGTAGCTTTTCTGAGAGCATCCGAGCAAAGGAAGGAATGGAAAATCATGATCGCCGATGTCTGTCGCAGATCTGGCACTGGATGATGATGATGATGAGTGCAAAGGACAGAGAGTAAAGGTATAGCACATTGAGTCTTTCTTTGAGTAAAGAGTAGCACATTGACACAATAATGGTCAATTAGTGCTGGGAAAAAGTAAGACAGACAGACAGAAACAACAGAGGGAAAGTAAAGAAGTAGGACCTACTAGGGGCGTCTTCCAAACACACGCTAGCACATTGAGAAGACCAATAGGGCTAAAAGCAATAGGAAAATAAAACAAAGAACAATCCAAAGATGAGTCCACATTCAGTACTCACCCAGTAGCCCAGGAGGAATGGTTCAAAGATGTGGCTGTAGAAGGTGGTGTGCTTGTTGACCGACTGTGCCACCAACAGCTCATCTTTGTCCATCACCACACCACACATGTGCGTCAACGTGAGAAGAGCCATCTCAAAGTCCTGGAAAGCACAAACAATAAATTCCGAAATGAAAAAAATCTTATTGAACCAAAACAAAAGAAGTATCATGTACTGTCATACAGGAACGTTTTTAAGGGGAGGAGCAACCCTTGATTTTCCAGATTTTGGGTCAGGCTATGCAAATTTTATGTTGGCTGGATTTTGAAGATCAACCAGCTTTTTGTCTAAAAATAGAATGGATACAATTGAGAAAGTCTTAACTGTCCTCGTAAATCGCCTTTGAAAACATGAGGATGGGTTAATATAGTGAATTTTCACAAAAATAGTTTTTTTCGCAAAAATATTTTTTTTTGCAGTTTTTTCCCTACTCCTTCCTTAGTTTTCGGCCGTTTGACATGAAACTTTCAGGAAACATAGATGGCAAGGCTGCCATCAACGTAACAGAGAGATATTTGCGGAAAAAAACAACACTTTTCCATTGGCAAAGTGAATACACAACCAAATTTCGAAAAAGTTTTTTATACTTTGGGAAAATTCTCATATTTTGTTTTCTTTTGCATTTATTTTTAAAAACTTGCTGTTACTCTGACGGGGTCTGGTTCAGGTATACTCGCACCAAATTTCGTCAAATTTGGTCAGTAAATAAGAAAGCCTTAAGGATTTGAAATTCAGTGTTTATTTTCAAGATGGCGGCCGTTTCCTTAGCAACTGCTTTAGCCATGCCAAAAGAAAATTGCGTATCAATAGATTTTACTATGCCTAACTTTTGTGTACTTAGATTTGATCTCGGGCAACAAACATAGTATATGGTCCTCAAGGGGAGCTCCTCCCGTTAAGAAAACATCGAACACTCCATTCAAGGAAATAAATCTAATGTACACTAACATTTCCTCATCACATGTGCATCAATGCGCTACCTTAGAAATACAAAGTTCTATTTGCTCTGTGCCTTTGATGACAAAGATTCTGAGTTTCACATCATGTCAAGCTTGTTCAAATGCAATTTTTTTAATTTCCTGATAACGCCTCTGCAAAATTTTACCATTTTCATAGAGCAGAAAGAAGATTTGGTTTTTTATCTCACGGTCTTATAACTCAAAATGGCCAAAAATGTCTCTGTAATTTTGAGGTAAAGACTGTAATGGAAAAGGGCTGATATATAAAACAGACAATACTAGCATAAGACAAAGCTCAAATATCTCAAAAACAATAAATGACACCAAAAAAAAAAAACAGAAGAAGATAGAGTCATTTTAAAAGTTCTATCAGAAGAGAGCAAAAGTCTTCAGTGACAGAGCTTCCACATCACTTACACTTCTGGTGTTTCCAGGGATGAAGACAAAATCTCTGCACAGTAGTTGTTCCAAAAATGAGTATTTGGTAAACAGCTCATCTGAAAGAAAAAAAAGTTTTGTTTGAGTAAAGAGAAGCACATCGACACAATAATGGCTATTTACTGCTGCAAATAAGTAAGACAGACAGACAGAAACAGGTAGAGGGAAAGTAAAAAAGTAAGACTTACCAGTAGCACCCTCCAACCATCCGCGGAAAAGAAAGAACACTAAAAAGTTTTAAGAAACTAAATAAAACTGACTTTCATCAAATTTATCAAGTTTTCACCAAAATACCCATTACGTAGTGACTTAAGTATATGCTGAAAAAAATTCAACTAGAAGACAAGAGAATGAAATAAAACAGCACAAACTTCACATCATTATGATCTCACTTAACTATGAAGTGCCTTCTACAAACCTTCACCCACCACAAAGATTTGTTCTGACAACAACGACAATATGATCTTACTCATTGAGAGTCGCTCCTGGCAGCTAGAGTTGACCGAGATTGCGATCATGGCAGGCCGCACAAACACATGCAGGATATGATTTCTGTACAGGGAGAGCATCAGATGCTGACCAGCTGCCCAAGGACATGGAAGAGAAAAAGTTACCATTACATTCAACTAAAAAAAAAAAATTTCAAGTCACAATTACAGGATGATTTGTTATTTCATTGCATAGACAGCAAAAGATCTTGTCAGTATGTTAGTGTTTTAGCGCCTATAAATGCAGCTTGCACTGTATGCTTCCCAGGAAGTTGAGATTGTTTCAGAATGCTAGCAGATCTGCTGGGGTAATAGTATAGATTGTAAAGAGCATAAAGCTTGCTGTTGAGCGGGAATTTGTTCTCTACAAATGCTATCTATTATTATCTATTATTATATTATTCTCATTGTTATTCAAGAGAACTGAGTGCTTAATCCTACCACAATTTTCAATCTCAACATTAGATGAATTTGGATGATGTCAAAACCATTGACTGTTTAGAATAAGACTGCACCATATGCCACTGTGAAAATTTATGAGTGACAAGAGTCTAACACTGAACAAACCATACGAAGTACAATTAATGCATAAAATGCACACATTCAAAGGTATATCATTTTTCCTGTATTGCTTGTGTGCAATGAGCAACTTTATCTGAATGATTTTAAATACGCTCTGACAAACAAAAAAAACTTTTTTGTTAAACCTAGCCTCATTGCACTCTAATTCTGTGAGCTCATAAACTTAGTCACACTACAAAGGTTAAAATAAACCAAACTAAAGCCATAAATAGATATAGAGCAAACGCAAAGTCGGAGCACAGTACAGAGAGACATTGCTGAACTGACCTGTGATCATGAGGGCGTCTGTTGCCTTAGCATGGGCTGGTGGCGCCACCTGTACCAGTTCCACCACATCCTCGCCGGTGACCTTCACAATGTTGCTGTGCAGCCTCAGATTCTCTCTCAAAATGCTTTCGGCAGATTCACTCGCTGGCAGTACAGGAGGAAAGAAAAAAAGAGAGGCCGGATTGAGAATTTGCTCCTGCAAAAATTTGTGACCATGGCAAAATGGTCACTATTCATCTTTAAATGTCTTCAACTAGTCTTGATATTATAATATATACATGAAACAACCTATAATGACACATGTCAAACAGGATACCAAATATTTTGTGAAAAGGGTTTTCTTCGAGAGGAGTTATTACAGTAATCAGAAGGAACAGTTTTGTGATGGGATGCATGGGGGGGGGGGGGGGGGGGGGGGTTAATTACCTAGTATTATATTTTCACTTCAGGGAGATTTTTGCCCTCCTATTGAGCTTGTGTGGAGGAAGGAGGATAAAACAGCATTTTTAGCTCTTTGTACAAAAGTGACGATATTTTAGCCTCAGAGCAAAAATGTTATCATGGCACAAATTTACAAAAGTTTTCCTCTTTTATGGGTAGGAAAGTTCTTCTTTTATGGGTTTTTATAGCTGGTAAAGTTCCTCTTTTATGGATTTTTATGGTTAGTAAAGTTCCTCTTTTATGGGTGGGAAAGTTCCAGTTCAACTCTCAGCAAAGCAAAGCTCAGAAAAATTAAGATAATGGAGAGCAGTTACACAGCGCATTTCCACACTGCCAATGCTCAATGTGCTTTACAGCAAAGATTACAATGACAAGACAATAAAAAAAACACAAACGAAAGCAAAACATTTCAAACAGAACCACAATTCTCTGTTGGCGAGAGCTTCACATTGCTCGCAACCACATTAAGGTCACACAAAATATAGTCTATTGTCTCACCTGGCCAGTCAATGTAGGCTCCCAGATTGGCCGCCTGTCGCTTGAGCCAGTCCACCTCGCGTGCCAGCTGTCGGAGCGTGATGCCCTCCTGGGACTGCATCAGCACCATGGCCATCATGGCCCAGGGGGAGACCACCATGTGTTTCTGGTGGGTCAGCACCATCTGGTGGGCCAGCTTCTTGATGATGTCCTGCTCCTGGTGGGTCAGGCTGGCCATGTACCTGAGAAACACCAGCAACAACACCTTACTAATACTTCAGAATTACAAAGCTCTATCTGACAATTTTGGCGGTTTTGAGTTACTAAGACCATGAGGTCAGAAACCAAATGTTCTATCTGTTCTATCAAAATCGTAAGATTATTCCGAGTCGTAGTCAGGATATTCTGCGTTCTAAAAAGCTTGACATGATGTGAAACTCAAAATCTTTTGACGTCAAATTTTTCTAAACTAGGTACTGAGCAGACAGAAGTTTGTAATTGTGAGGTGGCAAAGAGAAGCCCAAAGAAAAAATACTGAGCTAAATTTTTCAAAATAATTCCCACTTTTAAAACTTGCGTACCACAGAATAAATAGGCCTACAGATGGAAAATAAATAACATTATCAAAATAACACTCAATCTACTTTTATGTCAAGAAGTTTATTTCTTAAAGGGCAAGTAGAGTCTCGTCTCCTGAAGTTAAATCTTCTCAAAAATTGTAAATAAAACATTTCAGCGCAATGAGCAGTTGCAAAATAGATACTATTCAACTTTTTGAGAATTAACATAATATAATTCTGCTTGACGATCTGCTTCTATCTTTCTCTTAATTCAAAACAGAAATTCCTTGGACAAAAAAAACGCTTCTTCTCAACTTTCAATTTTCGATACTCAGAGGACTTCCAACGCATAGCTTGAATTGCTTCATGAGACAGTCATGGTATCTCCAACAATAAGAAAAAGTAATGGAATCACTCCTCCAGTTTTCCCAAAATGCACAGCAGTGGCAACAGTTGCAACAAATACAAAATCCATCCTCAGTCTCACAAAACACTGTTAGTTATTGTCAATAATTATATCAAAAACACCATTTGGCTGACTGCAACTAGATCAAATCGATTAAAAGTATTTATTGCCAGAATATCAATTATTCATTTATACAGGCACCAGCCATCAACGTCCAAGTGCTGCTTTAGCCTCTTTCTCCTGTCTGTGAATTTACCTCATGAGAGTAAAAAAGAAGCATTCTCCAACCTCAGACCTCAGGGAGGGGAAACTGTCAACAACTGTCACAGCGTCAAAGTGACAAGCTCACCCAATGATGAAAAACATAAACATAATTATTTTTCTCACCTGGGAGCCAAGTTGTGCAGGCTTCTATCAACAAAACCCTCAGTGTATTTGCGAATGGAGATGGGCTCTCCAAAGTTGATATGGACATTTCCGAAATCTTCATCCAAGATTTTTCTGGCTTTCAACAAACCCTGTGGATAAATATACAAAATGTATTCAAAGAGTGCACAGATTTCACACTGGGGTCTTTTCCTTTTCATTTAAAAAATCCCTTTGTAGGTCTGAGGTTGTTGTAATTGACAGCAAGCTAACACAATAAGAGCAACATTTGGTTAGATTAGAACAGAAGAGGACAAAAGAAAGAGAAGCAAACGACATAAGAATGCCCACCAGCAACCCTAATCAATCTGAGGGATAGATAACTATGAGTAGCATAAAATGCACAACAGACCAACCATTAGACACCGTCATAATTCTACCAGGTTACTAAAACGAAGACAGGTAATGAAAGTATTCCTCCAGCAAATGAACACTAGACCAGGAAAGACATTATTCTGACTCTCGACAAATTGCCAAATCAGAATTACAAAGTTCTATCTCAACTTTTTTGTCTGTTTTGAGTTACAAAGACCACGAGGCCAGAAATCAAACCCTCTGCTCTATCAAAATCATAAGATTATTGGGAGTCACTATCTAGATACTTAATGAACCGCATTTGAAAAAGCTTGACATGTGAAATTCAAAATTTGTACATCAAATTCTCAAAACGAGATCCTGCGAAGATAAAACTTTGCAATTCTAGGGTAGCAAAATGACGCTCCAGCTCTTGTGGAACAGCCACTCACACTACCCCTTTCATGGAATTACCACACCTCCTTTGAAATGACCTATTCTATTCCTAAGAAGCTCAGCAAAGAGCAATAAAGTACAAAGTGTAAGCTCACATTACAATATCAGAAGCAAACTTTAATTCAAGACAGGAACTTACAGAAGTGGACTCTTTCGGCTTTGGCACTCCCAGAAGTTCATACGCGTACAGACTTTCTTCCAAGATCCTGTCGTAGCTGATGCTGCAGGGAACCACCATGATGTCTGGGATGTGGGACTTGAAATAAGGCTCCAGGGCAGCCGACAACATACCTGAAATAAGGTACCAAATCATTTTTAAAAGAAAATTTAACTTGGTTCCAGTGACAAATTTTTATTGATCTCTTTCCATAAGCAAAGTTTCAGTGTAACATTAGTCACCACTCGATCTAATGTACTGGTAAGGATTTACAAATCCCTTAACTCCTAACTTTCCAAAGGTAACATGATATTTTAAGTCACTACATGGCTTACAACTCATTAAAAGGTATGATAGCCCTTAGAGTCTCAATCTAGGATTTACACCATTGCACACTGAAGCAAATGTTCAGTGTGGCAAAAGAGTACAGGCAGTGTGTCAGCTCTTGCTCACAGGGGTAAAGGGTCAAAAACATTGGTGTGACAGGAGAGTAACAGCGAACACACCAACAAAACTCACCAAACTTTGGGGTGTACGACTTGGATGTCCTGCTCCGTGTCCCCTCTACGTAAAACTCTATGGGAGCATCTCCGTTGCAGATCTGTGACTGCACGTACTCAGTAAACACTGCCCAATACAAATGGTCGTCACCAAAGCTACGCCGGATGTAGAACGCTCCACTGTTCCTCAGCAACCATCCAACACCTTTCATGCCCATAAAGTCTGGGAAGAAAAAGAGGTGATGACTTTCTTATTGACTCACAAGTGAATGGGAAGTAAATTCTAGCTTACATCCAGGGGTTCTATACAAATAAACATCCCTAAAAGCTACATTTTGCAAAAATATTCTGGCCCTGCTCTAAAAATATCAAATTATTATCTCGTTTGAGGCACACAAACATTTAAAAGTGTGCTAGGCGCACTAACTTAAGAGTTATTAGGGGGAAAAAATCCCCATAAGATGGAAGGATAAAAACAAACAAAACACAGAAAACACACATGTAATATAAACTTTCCTATTCATACAAACATGTGCTTTGAATCAACTTCTAGCAGAGCTTACAGGTAACATGTGGATGTCCTACAATTGAAGTATTTTATACATTACATACTAATAAACACTGCTTTTCCGTTTGAATAAGAGTTTTACAGCACTTGCAACACAATTAGGTCATATAAGTGCCAAAGATTAGAGGTGTTACAAGACAGTAACATACACAAAAAAAAGGAGGAGAGATAGGGACAATACTTATTTGATGGGGAAAGAAGGAGCACACCACACCAGAGCACCCACCAACAACCCACAATAAACACTGTACGAAGTCACAGTTCCCACTTCTTTCTTTTATATGATCCGTTTTTGTTTCATTTCTCAGTAGTCAGAAGGGGGGAGGGGTGTTTTTCTTACCCATAGCAGCTGCAATAACAGGCAGCGGCAGGTCATAATGGTAGAAGACATATGACATAAGGAGGAAATCCATGTAGCTGCGGTGGGTGGGCATGAGCAGAATGGGATACTCTTTGACCATGTCTCGCACCTTTAGAAAAACATTAAAATCAAATCTAGCAGGACTGTTTCAAAATTAGCTGTACTTTTTAAAAAAACACACAAAAAACAGAAATACAAAGACCTGAGATACATCTGACTTAATCAAAAACAATAATATTTTTTCACAAATATGTTTCATGTCAGATGATGTCATGATCTTATCTCCGTGAATTTATTAACATATTTAATGAAAACAAACTCAAAATCTTCATGATTTTTTTAGTTCTATAACTTATTTTAAAATTCATATATTTTGGAGGGAAAAAAATCAAAATTCATTTACTTCACAAAAATTAAGGTAAAGATAAATCATGACAGTTTCTACCTTCTGAATGCCATCAGCATTGACGTAGATTCGTCTGTACAACGACTTGAAAATCTTCATCAAGAAGAAGGCGAAACCTCTGATGGCTGTCATGCTTTGGTTGTGGGCCATCTCATCAAGTATTGACAGGGCTTCTGCGGTCACCTCCTCTCGGGGCAATTTAGTTTCTATGCAAGCCTGCGAAGGAGAAGATAATAAAATAAACATTCCTAATAGAAACAGCTGCAAAAATATCTAAATACACATTTTACCTATTTGCATAAATGTTAAACCCATTTAGGGTTACAGACACAAGCAAACACATGTGCACGCATACACACACATATACATACACGCACGTACGCACATGTACACACACACACATACACACTCACACAAAAGCAAACATACCCAAAGATAAACAAACACATATACTCAACAGTAAGAATTATGCATACATAATTACATGCAAATATTCCAAAAACACACAACAACTTTAACAAATACAATATTAAGCACTTGTAAATGAAGTCAAAATTCAAAATTTCCTCACCTGCTCAATTGCAAACTGCACCCGGTCGCTGGCCATGACATGGGTCTTAACCTCAGAAGGCGTTCGCTTCTTGTTTAATTTAAACGTAGGGACATCGCGAGTCCTCAAAACATAGCCAATGTCACGTCCATTTTTGCGATCTTCCAAGATGTCCTCAAATATGTCCTTTTGACGAGAGGACACCAATTTGGGATCATCTGCAATAAAGAATATACGTAAGTGAACTACATCTGAGGCAAAAAGGAAAATTATGATAAAATGAACTTCAATTTTGAATCCAAACAAAATCCCACTGAAGAGAATTAAGCAGGTGCAGTTCTGGGAAAAAGAGTACTAAACTGGCAAACACAACAGAAAGATGAAACATTTTGAGAGACTTATTAATTCCGGTTTCAGGGAAAAATGTCCGACAAATGCATGACAACGTTGTGTCAAGTTCATCCAGCTATCATTACCATTTTGTTTTATTGTTTTAGTAGAGATTTTACAAGCTCGCAACTGCATAAGGTCATATGAGCACCAGAAGATTAGAGGTGTCATATGAGAGTAACAAACATAAAAAAAGAAGAAGGGGAGATAAGGACGATAGATGTTTGATAGGAAAGAAGGAGCAAACCACACCAGAGCACCCGCCAACCACCCATATTACCATTTTCATTCGCACACAACATAAGACAATTCAAGTGCAGATGAATATATGAGCAAGTGTGGCTTCACGATCAAGGCAAGCGACCTTGGCCAGAGATCAGTGTGCCATCCTTAACTATGACATTACTGGTTCTTTAAATGTCCTTGTGTCTTCATTTTGTTTTAGTAAACTTTTACGGCACTTGCCACACAATTAGGGTATATAAGTGCCGAAGATTAAATGTGTTACAAGAGAGTAGCAAACATAAAAAAGGAGGAGAGATATGGACGATTGGTGTTTGATGGGAAAGAAGGAGCAACCCACGCCACAGCACCCTCCAACACCCACCTTGTTTCTTCTGGGTAACATTCATTGTCTGAATACACGCAGTTTTGATATTTTTTTGCCTTTACTTGTAGGTGCACACACATGCCCTCAATCAAATGCGCAATTGCAAACGCTTGTGGGGGCAGATCAAAGATCAAACCAACACGTCCAAAAAAATTCCCACTGCAAACAACGTGAAATGATTAGCATCCGTACTGCACACTGTAATATTAACCAGTTGCAACCATGATGGAAGTAACAGAGATACCCTAAAGATAACACCCTCTGACAACTTTCCCTGAACAGATATGATCTTAAACACGAAGTTCACTTTTCCTTTTGCTTTCAAGGGTAGGAGCACTTCTCTCACAGGCTGCTATCATTTCATTATCATTGCTCCCTGTGATATCAGAGAGGACACTGAGAGATCATTGACTTTCACTATCAACAACTGTGGTTGCAGAATCATATCTTTATCAATACTGGTCATTGAAGTCCCATTGACCTTGAACTATTCGATCAGCCCGGGACACAAATTGGCCCCTGAAGAAACAGATATTCTGGCATGCGTATCCTTGGATCTAATGAAAAGAAAGTAAACGCTCATTTTTTTACCATCCATATTCGTCAACAAGATGTGCTCTCTCTCTCTCTCTCTCTCGTCTCTCTCTCGTCTCTCTCTCTCTCTCTCTCTCTCTCTCTCTCTCTCTCTCTCTCTCTCTCTCCCTCCCCCCCTCCCTCCTTCCAGGTTGCCTTCAGTTAGTCTCAATAGCAATACCAGCTTGATTTCTTTCATCTGGCTTTAAGCAGAACAAATAAAACCCTTCAAATTCATAAAAAGACATACGTGTGCTTATATCAAAAACACCCCATAAAGGTTAAAATCAAGCTTTTCTCAGCAAGCTGTTAGTCTCACAGAACCATACTGATCCATGATAACTTTTTTTATCATTTTCTGAGCCAAGCATGATATCTAAACGACCATGACAGTTATATAGAAGAAACAAAGACACCTAATGAACCAGTAGCAATGTCATGGCAAAGCCCGGCACGCTGATCTCTGGCCAAGGTCTCTTGCCTCGAGCGTGAAGCCACCTAAGTAAGATAGGGAAAGGTTGCCCCATCCAAGGTCGACTGGCCTCAGGCCAACCTACGTGCTTAATAGCTGGTTTTGTCATGACTCAATGGAGGTCTACTAAGCCTCTCAGTAGAAAGTGAAAACAAGTGCAACTCTGATCATTCATCTCATGACAAAGATCAGTTATCAAAGTAATAGCAAAATAATCACTAAGGTGAAGATCGAGCACTCTGACTTAAAAGAAATCTTTAGAATAGGCCTACATATGCAAAGCCACAAACACAATGAACAACTGCTTCAATCCAAGTTATCTCTGGACAGAGTTTTAAAGACAACAATCAATATTTTTCTACACAAGAGAGGGAAAATGGATTGCTTGGCAAGAGAGAATGCTCTCTTTCTGCAATGAACACTTCATCATACTTCATGTATGTCATGTATTTGGGTAAAAGGAATGGGAATGGGGGGGGAAACAAATTTTTGCTCTCAAACATCCAGAAGGCTGTGTGTGTGTGTGTGTGTGTGTGTGTGTGTGCGTGCGTGCGTGCGTGCGTGCGTGCGTGCGTGCGTGCGTGCGTGCGTGCGTGTGTGTGTGTGTGTGTGTGTGCGTACACGTATGTGTATACATGTGTGTGCGTGTGTGTGTATACATATGTGAGTGTGTGTGTGTGTATGTGTGTGGGTGGGTGTGTGTGTGTGAGTGTGAGTGTGTGTGTGTGTTCACGTGCATGAAATGCGTGTACAGGGCAACCTATCCAGACACCAAACTAACAATATATATGGTCATACTCTTGAAAACATCCAATACACATGACATGAAACCCTATAGTCTACAGCCTTTCACATTGAATACTTATTAAGCAGTAGTATATATATTCCCAAACTACAGCTGGTCAGCTGTACACATGAATACATGGCTGAAGTTACATGATTCTATCCCATCACTTGTTTTACAGTGGTCAACGCGGGAACTGCAGCTTTTTCTTTCCTCATCCTTACTATCGTCATTTTCCTCCACTTCTTTTGTTTGTTTGTCACTTTCTTGAGAACTGCTATTTCAGGGGTGCCTTGACAGTCGAAGCAGACTTTGTGCTGCTGAGGCTAGAACTAGAGAGGTGACCAGAGTAAACCTGATTCCACGTTTGGACTTCTCTGTTGACATTCACGCTTTGGCGCTCATATGACCTTATATGCAGTTGTGAATGCCATAAAACCTTACTGAAACTAAACTAAAACACTCAGACCCAGAACTATTTCTGTATGCCTATCACAAGCATGGGTTAGAACTTAGCAGAAGATTTTGTATTTCTAATGACGACAAAATAATAAACAGGCACTGGAACTGATTATTCTTTTCAAGCATTATAACATACTTTTTTCAAGCATTATAACATACTTTGCGACTAGAAAAATCAACTATAGGAGCATTATACCAGCAACAATTCCAAATTTCCATAAGTTCATCTGTAAAACATTTTGCTGAGTCTGATTGAAAGCTGATACAGATACATGTAATAATCCTGCAAGCTGTGACCCTACTAAAGAACAGAAAATAAAAAGTATAGTTTTCCTCTGATTCTCATAGTTTCATGTATCTCACTGTATCCCCATTTGGCCATACATCAAGCTTACTGGGGACTAGAAACAGAAGCAGGAAAAGCAAAAGAGAACAGAGCAATGTTGTAGATTTCATTTTCATCATGTCAGAGGTTTTTTTTAGGTCAAAACACAATATTGAGGCTTAGGGAATTATGAAAATTCATGGCATAATGATGCAAATGATAAATCTGTACTAAAGGAAAGAAGAAATGAAATAACAACTGTGAGGTGTAAGCCAGCCAGCAAATTTGCTTTAAATGGTTTTGTCAACTGTAGCTCCTACTTTTAAGTACTACAGTTCGATTTTAACTTCTTTTTATAAATAGCTAAAAGGGTGCAGACTTCAATAAAACAGTTTAGATGTGGATTTAACTTTAACTTTGTCAAAGAAAGGCTCTAGGAACATTGTGTGAACACAAATGTACCAAAGAAAAATATTCTAGATTAATGAATTTGTGTCAAAGAAAGTCTTGTGGCATGGTGAAAAGTTAAAGGAGAAAAAAATAGTTCAAAATTTTGTTGGTAATATTTGCATTTGTCAGAAAATCAAAGCAACCCCTCCCAACAGCCCAAAAAGCACCTGCCCATCAAAGCCATCTTCCTCCCATACTTTGAACTCCAAAGCGATTCATAACTATCCAGTCAGCATTTCACAAGGAAGTAATTTCCTGACCCTGGCTAAATGAAATTCCACGAGTGAAACCATAATGGCCACTTCCCTATATCAAACAGACAGTCATACAACCTGCAAAGCACATCAACAATCAAGAGACACTCAAAACCACAGATCATACGGAAATTTATCAAAATAAAGTTGAGTACACTTAAACCAAACACGATTAATCTGAAAACAGCAGTGAACCAAAAGAAAATAAAAATCACAAATTTTTTTCTTCTATTTTTGAGCAACAGTTCATCTCTATACCAAAAACCCAGAAAAACTGAGAGAAAAAAATTTGCCAGTCTCACAGATTTCAGTAAGCAGACTGCTGTACTGCCGTGCCAAGGCAGACCCTGCAAAAATTATTAATTTTTGCATCTCCGTTTAAATGGACGCCTCTATGCCCATTCTGTATCTTGTGTTTATTAAAGCAGGAAGGTGTATCTGCACTACAAATAGGATATTTCACTAGGCACTATGACAAAACAGACGTAACTGAAGGGCCATGCCCATATTTCCAAAGGAGCGTGACGTAACTCAAAATCATAAAAAGTGCAGATACGTCGCTCTGCCTTGGCATGGTAGTGTATTCTAGTCTTGCTCATCATTTTGCAAGAACAGGAGAAATAGTTCATTAGTAGAGGTGATAGACGAGTCCTAAATCCTGCCCACAATGAATCAGACCACTAACACATGATAGCCTAGTACAAAGTTTTAGTGCAATGAAAATAATGCAGAACAAATATACCTAAGTAGGCTACTCCAGGTCATACATATAAAAATAATCCATTAAAAATAGCGCAAAGTTTTAAAAAACAAAGCACATGATGATGAAATACTGAAGTTCAGCAGTTTTACTATGACGACAACAACAACACAAAATACAAAAGAAACTTCACACCATGTAAACTGAAAAGCCGTCTTTATTCGGACTCGGGTCCGGAAAAAAAGGAAGTGTCTTCGTTCTATAGATCTAACGTTACAGTGCTTCCAATTTTCCGCCATTTTTTAGTTTCCCCCACACCTTTTCTGTCGATCCAATGCCCGCTGCCTCATTGATATGCCCCCCCCACACCCCCCACGTTTCCCACTTTCTTTGTTGTAGAAAAAGGTAAAATTGAAGATTAGCAGACCACCTGGCACCTGCATTATATTATGAGCTGTGTAAAAAAAAAAAGACCGATTCGTTCAAATACACAAGCCTGTGTCATCTCGATTGTTTACCAAGAAAAAGTTGTGTTGCTGTGTAGAGCTGAGCATACGACAACTTTTGATTCCATAGACCAGCGCACAATTCATTACGTAGATCTATGTCAAGACTAGCTTAATATTGTAATAATGATCAGTTGGCGGGGGGGAAAAAGACTGACACGTATGCGACGTTCAACGCCCGGACCGATAGTGCCCCCCCACCCCCCTCCCCGACACGCACATAGCCACACGTGTGCAGGCCGCCCATCCGACCCCGAAACACGCTAACGAGCCATCTTTAAATTGCTTCTGATGACCTCTTGACAAATAAACATTTATTAGAAGCGCTATAACTTTTCAGGCCGGCCTCAAAACGCCTTTTTGCCCGAAGTGATCCCGGTCTCTACCCAGCCTGAGGCGAGTCACGAGTGAGGCAGGACAGGAAGCCGGATTCACGAGTCACAGGAAGTCGGAAGTGATGTCATGCTGGACAAGAATAAGAGTCCGAATAACATTTTTTCATATTCGGACTCGAGTCCGAATAATCACTTCGTGCTAAAAAACTAAAGTACTAAAGTACTATTTAAAGTAAAAGCCGCACGTACAAGTTAATATTCAGAAGTTCGTACTCATAATGAAAGTGACCACAGCAGCCACTACTAGCCTACCTAAAACCCAACTGTAACCCTGTACAAAGCATGGGACTCATCACTGAACTCACAAGAAAACACACGATCAAGGACACACCCATTTCTTTACTTATTCTATACTATCACACACACAACAATTTATCGTCTTTCGTCAAACAAGGCCATTTATAAGCAACACTAACTGTTGCAAGTCCATCTGACTAACGCTGCGCGTTTTACCTTTACTGATCCAAGCGTTTCTTGACTGCTCAGTCATTTTGTTTTGAATGAATAAGCTTAGGATGAAGAAAAGTCTATGAGTATGAACATTTCATGTCGGTAGTCCAGAAGGCTCTCTTTAGACAGAGTGCTCCCCGGCAGCAACGCGTTCGTTCATAATAACAATTTGCTTTGTTTTGATTGGCTGTCCCTCATCAGATGTCTCAGTTCTCCAGTCTTCAGATCAAGATTAGGTATTGCCGATTAAAAATGGGATATAACCATTATGAAAACCTGCTAAAACTGTAACCATCCACGAATTTTGATAACGATTAACATGCAGTTTTGACAACTGATGGATTTCTCAAATTAAAAATATTTTTTTAAAAATCTTTTTTTAAGCTGTGAAAAGATTCTAAATACGACTGAGAAAATCTCAGGATAAAACTATATCCCCCTAAAAGTTGTCTAACCATTCGGTTTTCCTAAAAATGCAAGTATTGAAAAGATTATTAAACGTAATAATTTACTTTTTCAGTGAATGTAAAATAATATTTGACGAATATGCCATTTTTTGTGCATTAGTTTACAACACATTTGTATTGACAGAGCATATACATATATTTTCATAGTAATGTATGCTTAAAGATTGAAAAGTTAAATTATTTTCTTTTGTGAATTAACCGGAAATCGAAGACAACATTTTAATATACATGACAAAGCCGAAAGAAGACCGAAAACGAAAAGTAAGGCCCTCTAACTTTTCTAACAAGACGACCATAGCACGAAAAGAGCTGCACAATGAGTTCCATTGGAACTGGTGTAAGTAAACCTGCTTACATATAGATATCATAGATTTTAAGGAGGGCCATAAGATGTTGTTCTTTACTTGGAACCTGCTTTGTCTCTTTCTATGTGTCGATATTATTGCATGGTTGGCGTGTTGGTTGTGTGTTGTTTGTTGTTAGCAGTCAGTAAGTAGTAAGTAGAGTAGATAATAAGTAGATTCGGAAGGAGTTCCTCAGAGGGCAGGCCGACCAACAACACTCAAAAGAGGGGATACTTTGAGCGGGGTATACCCTAACCCTAACCTTAAACCTTAAAGGGAAGATTGAAGAATACCGGACCACTCGTACATTATTTATTGCGCGAGAATGTGGGGGAGGTGGTTGGGGAGGGGGTTCAGGGGGGTCTCCCCCCGACAAAATTTTAATGAATAGATCTACCGGTCCGAGATTCTCCATCGAGAGATATTAAAAACGGGAAAATTATGAATTCGTAAGGTTGAGACATAGGCAAAGTCAGTCCGCTGGTCCGGTATTCTTCAATCTTACCCCCCTAAACCCTAAGGTAGGCACTTGGATATCGGCCCGCGCGGCCCGAGATTTTCGTTCACCTGCGGCCGCCGCGTTTTGTGTCAGAAATCGGGCCCCGTGAGGGGGGTACCTATTTGTTTTGTTTCGTTTATAGTGTTCTTTTCAATTTATGGATTACTTCCGCCTATCAAATTAAAGAGGAAAGAAAGGCGCGTATTATGGCGTTTTCCACTTCGGGATCGGTTGTGTGTGTTCGGAGTTACAAGGAGTTAAAAATAAGGTAAGTTCAAGCCTTTATATTTAAAGAGTATATCTTTTTTTTTTTAGGTACTCCTCACAGTCTTTTCTTCAACCTTTTATCTCTTTTATTTGTTAATTTCAATGTTGTACGTTGAGGCATAAGCGTGTGAGCCCTAATTTAAATAGGTCACTCTCCATGAATGGGCATGACCTATTATCGATCGCGCTGCTGAGCGTGAACCGGGAGGTCATGGCGGCCATTGCGGAAAGCGAACTTAACCCACGCTAACGTGTATTGTTGGCGTTTATTACCTCTTAAACGGCATTGAAGAATGTTTTATAGTAGAAGATATGATTTATTTTAAATTTTGGAATGTAATATGTATCACTGTTGTATAATTTTTATGAATTTGAACCATGTAACAATCAGTAAGGAGTCTTGGGTGGGGGGGAGGGAAATGTAACAGCCTTGGCCTTGTTTTGTTTCTGTGTTACTGTCACTGTTAGACCATCGATTTCACGCAAGTTTTTACTTCTTTTGTGTGCTTATATTGTCTTTAAATATTTTTTCTTCTTAATTGTTTTTGTGTGTGCTTGTTATTTAAATATCTCTTTAAATTATAATGTACTTTGTCCAGTTTGTTTTAAGATAGATCTACATGTTTATTAGAAGATGTTTTTTCTCTTGTCTAGTCATCTACACCCTCCCTTTACTAGAGTTGTAGTGTGAAAATGTCAAATTTCCATCCACTGCTCACAAATGAATTTATTTACTTCATTGATGAATTCATTGCTTTGCTTTTTTTTTTTTTCCACAGCCCCTGATCACAACCTGCCACTGTTCCATTGGATTTATTGACAGCTCACCAGAATAAATCCTGACTTTAATTAAAATCCAGAAATGCTTGCGGAGTTGGTCGAATTCACAGAAAAACTTGTTTGAACAAGTTGCAAAAAAATTGAGCACTTAAGAAAGCATTTGTTGCAGACAAGGAAAAAAAATTGACATTAATTTAACAATATCAAGTTGGCAGACTGGGTGAACTAAACAATTGCCAGAAATAAAGAAAGAATAAATAAGTATCGTGACACAATTGCGTGCTTCAAAAAACATGTCATATTTCACAACTAATTGTCTTTGAAGAAGATGAACATTTAAATAAACACAATAAAAATATAATGAAAAACTTGCTGAACAAACTGAAGTAATAAAATTAGAAGAGACTATTGTTTAACTTACAGGGCAATCTCATGAGTTAAAGATGTAAAAGAGAAATCAAAGATAAAGACAGAGTAATTGATCATTTACATGACAAATTAAAACATGAAAGAAACATTCTAACAATAACATGCAAAATGAATTTAAAAAACAGTATTATCATGAATTAAGGTAGACTAAAAACACTAGTTTGCAGCAGCTGTAGACACAAATGTTAACTTTAAAAACTTCTATGCTCATCTTATTTTAGGCGACCAGCTGTTTTGTTAAAATATATTTTATTTTTTAATCAGTTTTTTTGTTAATTCTACTGATATTTGATATGTAGATGTTCCAAAAGAAAGGCCTTAAAAAGACCTTCAAAACGATACCTCAATTATTGATGTAGCTTAATTTATAAGAAAGTTATGGCAAAATATATTGACCGCAGGACGGTGCGGTCACGTTACACAACACAGTGTTACATAATATTACCCAATATTACCCACCACGATATATTTTAAAAATCTCGTCTGACTGTTATTTTGTCCTCAACATCACAAGGTTTCAGAAAATGTTTGGTTTTTGCATGTACGCAGCAGCATATTGAAGCAGCTAACATTTCCCTTGTTGTCCTTGCTGTTTCGATCACAAAAATTGCCTTTTTTTTTCTATATAGATGTTATCCCCTCGAAAAGATCTTTAAAATGCCATATCTCAAAAACGGTTCAACATAGAGCAATAACTAAGGTAGCGTTGGAATCGTGTCACTGAGCTCTTTGCATTGGTATTGTTTTTAAAGCAATTTGAAAGCTTTGAAATTTTTATCCAAGTGCCTACCTAAGGCGCTCTTTGGAAGTTGCCTTCCCATTCCATAGAATAGCCATTTTGAAACTGAATAATATGCCATGTAATTGAAATGTACAGTGTAGCCTACAGTCGAACCTGCCTTAACGGAAACCTGTGTAAAACGGAAACCTGTCTTAACGGAATCTCCCCGCTCCCCCCTTGATTTATATTCCTCTTTAATTACCTGTATAAAACGGAAACCTGTCCAACGCGGAAACGGAAAGAAAAATCCGCCCTCTTCCGATGGTTTCACCTGTCTAAGTCGGAAAATGCTTTGCCCGCTCAGCCCTGATTTGAAACAAAACTCGCAAGTTTGGTTGCGCCGGCTCTAAACTTAACGCTATGGCCTTGCCGCTGGGCGAGGAAGGGAAGTAGGGGTGCAATTTCTATGTTACCCCATCATACGAACCCTGAGCGATGCAGATGGTCAGTGTAGTGTGGTTGTGAAATCTCACGACTGCCCGTGAGAGTGCTCGAGTTGCGAGCCACTACGGAAACGTTCCTGGGTAGCCAGAAACCAGAGGTGTGAAATTTGTTTGACCAATGCCTACCGCCCTGATCGTACACCAGCTGAGAAAAGAGTTCCTCGAATCGTTGTTACATGATGGCAGTGAGGAGTGGCATTGGTTGACTGTGCTTGTTACGCCGGTTGGTGGGGCTAAGGGTGGAAGCTAAGGAGATGTTCAAATGTTTCTTTTTTTAATAGGTCAATCAGTGGTCCTATGAAAGGCAAGCACTGGTGGTAATTGAATAAGTAAGACTGTCGCATGATGTCATTATCAGACAGGATAGTAAGTGAGAGGTGTGAAGTTTTGACCACTGCTTGCTGATCGGGACTAGCGATCCTTGATCCCACCGGCTGGGCCTTTGAAACCCCCCCCTTCCATTTCCCCATAAATTCCCCTGTCTCAGACGGAATTTTTTTCTGGCTCCCTTGCGATTCCATCTTACACAGGTTCAACTGTACTGTTAACGTGAAGATTGGGGGGGGGGGGGGGTGACGCTCTTTGTAAATTGCCTTCCCATTCCATTGAATTGCCATTTTGAAAGTGATAATATGCCATGTAAATGTGAAGATTGTGTGTGTGAGTGGGGGGGGGGGGTTATTTTTGCCAGGGCAAGACCCCATGAAACCCCCGACTGGAGGAAAGCCCCCATGACCCCCCCCCCCCCCCCACTAGAGGCGAGCCCCCCTGAGACCCCCCACTAGATCTATCAGGGGCATTAGGGTTATTGGTCTTTCAATAAATCCTGAGAGATGAAAAAAATTAGAAAGTTTAGATATATAGTGAAATATAGATCTAGATTGATTCTCTATTCCGCTTTCGTGGTTGTACACTCCAGAATTTCAAAAGTGTGGAAACAGTGCGCACGGCTATTGAACGGAAACCTCACCTGTTTACAATGGAGTCTTAGAAGACGGACTTTCCCAAGATTAGATCTTCTAAACGAAACTAATGAAAAACTGAAAATTAAACTACAGTGACTTCAGGCTCCTCAATAGAACTGTGCACCCTTTAAATGATTCTGAACCACTATTAATTTTGTCAAATTCAAAAGTTAAGTGGTTCCAAAGTTTTAGGCGGCCAAAGTGACGAACTTTCACAAATATATAATATGTATAGATACATATTACATATGTACACACTTGCATTTTTTTTAAAGTAACTGTTTTGTTGTCATAGAAAAGTTCATCCTTTTTTTTCTGGTAGTGGAGTATCATCACCACTTTCATTATTATTCACTTTGCTTTTGAAAATGCACTTAGATTCTTGGGATGGTAATTTTTCCTGATTTTCATCTTTTTCACAGTATGACCTGTCTGCCTCCCAGTTCTCCCCGGACGGACGAGTGTTTCAGGTGGAATATGCCCAGAAAGCAGTAGAAAATAGCGGGTAAGGAACATTTAATTTCCGTGACTTCATTCATTTGACAGCGGGTGTGCCTGCATAGGAAACTTAATTTGTTCTTTATCTTTTTGGTAAAGGTTGTTTGGACTGGGTCCCTGTGGTCAAAGGTATATTTTTTCAGGATGTGAGATGTTTCCAGATTTTCAATAGATAATATATATTATATATATATCTGTGTGTGTAGAGACAAGTTTATGTTCTGGGTGAATTTGTCAGCGCTGGGTGACATTGTGATGTCATAATGTCATCTGATGCAAGTCGAGCCATTCAGAGCTGGTTAATGAGCCTTTGATTACATGTTTTGTTTTACCTTTAATTCTGTTTAAGTGATTTTGCAGTGGGGTTTTTGGGTTGGTTTGTTTTTTTTTTACTAAGGAATTCTAGCCTCTTTAGAAAACATTCCCCAGAAGTGGGTAGTTTGCTGGTGCTCTGGTGTGGTTTGCTTCTTCTTTCCTATCAAACATCTGTCGTCTTTATCCCCCCTCCTCCTCTTTTGTGTTTGTTACTCTCTTGTTACACCCGTAAAACTCTTACTAAAACTAAACTAAATTCCCTAAATCTATGCCTGTTTTTTACTAGACTGCAGAATATGATCTAAACCACAGCTAAAAGATGAAGAAGCACTGTCAAGAAGAGTCACTTTTTATAGCTAGGGCACCTTCTGAGACAACAAGTTTGAAAACAGATTAGAGAAATTGGAGTATCAACACAATATAAACAACCATGATTGACTGACTGCGCATGGTGTATTTCTGTCATTTTTTTGTGCTTGTCACATATTATTCACAATATGATGTTCTTATTGGTTGAAGGTATATTATGCTAAGATTGCGAGGATCAGATATTCATGACAAAGAGATGTTGTTGCAACAGTTTGATAAGATGATGTGTCTAAAAAATTGTGGTACATATTATCATTTATCTGTATTGTGCACGCCCTGTGTCTGAATACGTCGTGAGCGCCTGTGTTAATGTTTCGTCTCTGACTTCCTGACAGGACTGCTGTCGGCATCAGAGGAAAAGATGGTGTGGTGTTTGGTGTTGAGAAGCTGATCACATCCAAACTGTACGAGAGTGGAGACAATAAGAGAATATTGAACGTTGACAGACATGTTGGTGCCGTAAGTACCTACGCAGCAGGTAGACTGTTGCTTGTAACTCTTAATTGATTTAGTTTCACCAGTGCATAAATTTCACCAAAGTTGTAAGGTTCTGTAAATCTGTCTGAGATTGTCTGAATTTTAAAAAAAAAAAAAATTTTTTTGGGGGGGGGGGGTGTAATGACATGAAATAAAGATTCATGTTTATTTTGTTTCTATGTCAAGACTTTTCTTTGTTTTGTTTTGTTGTTGTTTTGTTGGGTTTGTTTGTTTTTTGGAGGGGGGGGGGGGGGGCTCTTCCATGCTAGTTTCTATGTTGGCTGTTTTTAAACACTAGAGATATTAAGTGTTACATTTGTCCTTTATGCATAATAACATTAGAATAACTGATGTTAGCTGCAATATCAGTGAAAGGAATTTCGGTACCTGCAAAATGATGTGTAAGCAGTTTTTGCTCACAAGATGAATAATTTTGAAAGCAGATTTGTTAGAGGGTTTTAAAAATGTTTTTAAAGGGTGATCATATTTTGTTGAGGTAAGTGTATTATTGTTATGGGTTGACAGTGCTGTCTTTGTCTTTGAATATTTCGCTAACAAACTTGCTGTCCATATTTTCTTTTTTTAATGGCTTCTTGCTTTTGCCTTCCAGGCTGTCGCAGGTTTGAATGCTGATGCTCGCCATCTAGTGGAGAGAGCGAGAGAGGAGGCTTCAACCTACAGACACAACTATGGTGATCCCATTCCCCTAAAGGTATTTTATGACTTGCCAACAACACAGTCTAGAGGTTTGTGCAGAGCTTGGGATATAAGGAATTTTTTTTAAGTACAACGGTTAATTTGAAAGAGGAAAAGATGTGTTAATACAGAATACAACGGGGGTTTTTTTTTGTTTACATCATATTTTCCGTTCTTTATCTGTTTGGTTTTTTTTGCTTTGTCTTCCCCCTGGCACAATGGTTAGTGCTCTTTTTGTTGGGAGCAAAAGAATGTGCTGTTATATTTCAGCTCAATTGGTTTCATGATTGGATTGGGGTTGTTCCCTTTTTTTTTTTTTAATTAGGGGGGGGGGGTAATGACATAGCCACATTTGCTCTTGGTGTGATCAACGGTAATAGGTCACGTTTCCACTTTGTGGGGGGGGGGGGTAATTTGATGTTTTCAGTCAGTGCCTACTGTCTGGTTTTCATTTTTCACAGCATGTTGTTCCAGCCCAGTTGAATGGAAAAAAGCTAATGCTTTTTGTTTTATTTTTGTCATGTTAGTAGGGGGGATTTACCGTTTTGTTTTTTTTTACAGCGACTTATTTTCATACGCTTTTTATAAAAGAATCAAACTAATCTTACGGTGCACTATGCACAATATAACCTGCCACCATTGTTGTCTTCTGTATTCCTCAGCACTTGACAGACAGGGTGTCCGGCTACGTTCATGCCCATACACTGTACAGTTACGCTCGTCCCTTTGGTGTGTGCATGATCATGGGCTCCATGGAGCAGGGAGGACCTCAGATGTACCTTGTTGAGCCCTCGGGTGTTTCCTGGGTGAGTACTCAGTTAACAAATTTGTTTCTTGTTTGGCAGATAGACGATCTCCCCTTCTTTTTTATGTTTGTTACTCTCTTGTAACACCTCTAATCTTCTGGCGCTCATATTGCCTTATGCAGTTGCGAGCGCCGTAAAACCTCTACTAAAACTAAAGACTGAAGGTATGTACTTCCGCTCCCCTTTTTCTATTTTCAGCTCACTATATAGAAAAACAACTAATATTTTCTGCTATTCATTGTATGAGACCTGTTAAATGACATTGTTGTATTGCTTGGTTCACTATCTTTGTCGTGGGGGAGGGGCATTTATGTACAAGGAGTGACCTTGCCTTAGGGTGAACGCATTTGATTCAGAAGTCAGGAAGTTGAGGGACTGATGTTATGACTCTGGAACTGGATTTTTTTATTTCTGAAAAATACATAATTCACCTTTTTTCTTCAGTCCACCCAGCTGTAAATGGACACTTAACAATAGTTTGGTATGAATATAGTGTATGATTATTTTTGTGACCTTTGCATATATATCACTGTTTGTCTCCTGAGGCATTGAGTTTGAGAAATGAAATTAACTTTCCTTTGTTAGCCATCCTTATGAGGAATATGCAAGACTAAGATTTCGTTGCCCTGTTTTTGTTCAGTTCTTTTGTAATAAATATATGTAGTCTCATTTTTTTGTCATTCACTCAAAGCTTTTGGTATGCATTTATATTTCCTTGCCAGACTTCTGGTAAATTTTCAAAAACATACTTTGAATTTTGCCTGTAGTTGATTGTTTCTTGACTCTTTATAAAGTTCTAATTCTTAGCAACAATTTTTAAGTTACAACAGTTTGATCGAACAAAACTATTTTGTTTTATTTCAGGGATACCATGGTTGCGCCATAGGAAAAGCAAAACAAAATGCCAAGACTGAAATAGAAAAATTGAAGGTAATTGTCCTCGTGTCCTATGAACTGTATTTTCTCTGTAGTAAGTTCTGAACAGTATATCTGTTAACACATTACACCCTAACTTGCCCGGGACCGCCCGGGAATTCCCTTGCGCGCTCCACCCTGACTCGCCCGGAACCGCCCCCGCCGACCTAGCGTCTTTAGAAATGAAGTCTCGCCTTGACGAGACTCTGGGGCTGAGATTTTGATTTTCATAGTTATTGCAAAAAGTTTCTTCTTTCGTTTGGTACTGAAACGAAATTTTTCGGGCCAGTAGTTTTAGTATTAGAGACGATAGAAGTGCGATCACGTTACCGAGACTTCGTAGGTGTCTCGACTTGTTGAAAAGCAACACAATTGAGTCCGAAAAAGGAAATAACGATGGATTTGAGTAAAAACAAGCATATGACAAATCAAATGACTCAGATTTTGATGAAAATGTTGTAGCAAGAGTTTGGGGGCGATTCAGATTGATCAGACGTAGAAAATCTAGAATTTAGATCTAGGGCCCGACCGCGAGGCTGAGAGTGAGAGTGACGGATTATTCGTTTTAACTTTTATTTTTTTCAGGATTTTTGGAATTTGTTTAGTATTTCTAAAATGTGTGTTTTTAAAGGCTAGTATTCATGGGAGGTGGGTTCCTTCCCCTTGCTTAGGATCTAACAATGGACTTCCCGTCCAGGCCCTTAGGGTGTAATGTGCTAATGTACGCACAAGCATGAAGTTGGATGCTTTTCCTGATATCTCAGATGTCGAAACTCTGCAGTATTTTATCTGTCATCTCTGTTATTCCTGCCATCTTTATATACATTGCAAGTTCTCTATCGTAACAATGTTTTTATTATTCTCTTTAATCATAACTCAAGTCTCTGTTAGTTCAACTGCTTTTGGTCCGTAAAACATGTGTAATCAGAATGTTCACCCTTTACTGTTTATTGGTCAGATTATCAGTTTATTAGTTACAATTTTGTCTTTTCAGATGAAGGACCTATCGATCCAAGACCTTGTGAAAGAAGTAGCAAAAATGTAAGTAGTTTCTCCTCAACATTCAACGATTCTCTACATTTCCAACTTCCATCCCTCTCTCTCAATCTTTATTCGTCCATACCTTTTTTCTTTGTTACTTTGGATCAGCTGGAGTTAGCTGTTGTCCTTTTTTACCTTTAGAGATCTGAGAAATGTTATCTTTAGAAACTAATTTTACAGAGAATATACTAGCAGTATATAGAGAATATTGTAGTAATGCAGTATTTCTACAAAAATTGTCAGAGAATTTGGCGATTTTTTTTTTCCAGTGTTCACAGAGAAGAATCTGTTTCAGGGATCTGATTCCATTTTGTCTTCAAGCTTCATATCTGCTTTTAAGACAGGTTCACAGATGGTATATGTTGCTTTTTCAATGTGCAGACAATGTTACTTGAGGTCCACACTTTTGTTGTGTCATCTTTTAACAAGAAAATATATTAACAGACCTGCCACTCATCCTGATTTAGTCGGGATATCCCGATTTTTTGCCCCAAATCTCAAGCATCCCGATTTTCTCGATTTCGATCGCGCGTCTCCCGATTTTTTGTCCCAGTCTACTGTTGTGCCAGATTTCTCTGAAACATACTGTGCCTTCTTCTTTATCGCAGGAAGCACCCGTTGAACTTTTTGTCAGTATGAACTTGAAGCATTATTTTCCTAAATCTCGATGCCGGATTTAGTAGTTGACTATCCCCAAGTTCTGTTTGATCTTTGCCCGCACTCAGAACTCTCCGATGATAGCCTGATAACTCTTTCAATTTGGGACGTACAAACAATCGATAAAATTCGTAGTTCGGCTGTTACTTTCAAAACAAGCCTTGTCCGAGGTCTGGTAACTGCGCGTTCTCATCAAACACTTGGACGAGCGAGAGTCTTTCTAACCCTTACACAACTAACTGTGCTGACAAGACTAACATACGGCCGTTGTCGTTTCTTTGGTCTGAAGGCATATGAGGGATAAGAGATTTATTGGTACATTTGGTCGGTCTGCCGCCGTCGTTATCCTAGAAGTAGAACGACTGTCGCTCATCCGAGTGTTTTGTGTGAACGCGCATTAGTTGGACCCGTCAGTAAAATTGTTTCAATTGCGCGCTCGCTTCACGTGACATGACTTCGCCGTGTGAGTTCTGCGTGTTGGGGACTGTCCGTTGACGGGATCAACTTTAGTTCATGCACACTGGTTGAAATGTCTATCGGGACTTATTGGTTGGGGGGTGGGGGGTGTTGTTACACATCTGGACTAGGAGTGCTTGACGTGATACTTCAAGATTTACAAAAAATAATGATGACGCAGGCATGCGAACACACTCACACACACACTCACACACACACGCAACAAACAAACACACACAGACGGCATATAGGCCTATTTATTTATGTACACCCCTGAACAATTTTTAAGTCAGCTTGGCAGTCGCCTTGGTGATTTGCTGTTGATCCCGATTTTTTTCACCAAATCCCGATATTTCCCCACTGAGATCCTGATTTTGAGGTTTCATAGAGTGGCAGGTGTGAGTACAGTTCTCAAAAGTTTTTTGTTTTTGTGGAAAAAAAATATTCCACAGCACTCGAGTAGAGACTTCCACTTTTCAACAAAATAGGATTATCTGAATGTTTTTGTAGTTAATGGTTTGATGATGACACAAGTCGTTGATTCTGTTTTGTTTTTATTGCTCCTCTGAAATTTCTGTCTTTCTTGTGTTTTTCTCAAGGATGGTATGACAATGATTGTCTCTGGGTATTTGTTGTTACTTCACCTACAAGTTAAGATTGAGATGACTTCATGCTGTGTTTCAGAATCTACATCGTGCATGATGAAGTCAAGGACAAATCTTTCGAACTGGAGCTCAGCTGGGTGGGAGAAGGTAAGTTGGTTTTATTTATCTTCGTTTCTTGTTTTCAACAGCTTATCATACTCATTAGAACCATCAGAAAAAGACAATTGAGATTCTTTGGCCATGCAAATAAATCAAATGGAACCAGAGAAACTGCTGCTGTGTGGAAAGATAAAGGGGAAGACAAACAACAGCATACACAGATGGCCTGAACAACTTTGCAGCGAAAAGCACAAGGAGAAAAACAGAGATCTAATCAAGAAGACAGGCAACAGAAAGGAATGGGGTACCGTGATCTTCAATGTCTGCTCTAGACCTGACACCTGAAGATGAAGCCTGTACTCATAAAGTCTGTTTTAGTGACCCGTGTATGGAATCACTTGTGCTTGTTATACGAGTTGTCAGCTGTTTTACCATTTATTTTTCTCACTAGTCTGTGTCCTTGCTGGGTTTTTCATGTTTGAATATTCTTTTCTCACTATATGCTTTTGAGGGTGTGTGGGTATTTACATAGAAAAATGAGTTAAGTACTGTGATCGATTTGAAACTCACTTGCACTATTGGTGTTTTGGGGGCATTTCTAAAGGCTTTTTTTAAAATACTTTTCACTCTGTCAAATATAAGACAGTATTCTATTTCAAAATATTTGTTCAAAAATGGTATGGCTATTACGTAATATAATAGATTAAGGAATCTGTTGATACAGCAAATATTGTTTTTCTGTAAACGCCCCGCTACAATGCAAGGAATAAATCTCTAAATTGCCCAAAAGTATTTTGTCAACTGCTATGGCACGGTTGAGTATGAACTTGCTCTACTGCCAGAAGTGAGGGTTTGAATGTGATTTAGATCATTGTAAGTTACCTTGTCCTCCCTGAATTATTTTTCTTGCCAACACAGTGTCCTTATTTGTGACCAAGTACTTTTCCTTCTAAATGAATTATTACAATATGCCCTGTTGAACAATTATGTTGAATTAATTAATTGTAATCATTGTAATATGTTTCTTTCTTTATCTTTTCTACAGTTACTGGAGGTAAACATGAACTGGTGCCCCCTGAGGTATTCATAGAGGCTGAGAAGTATGCCAAGGTGAGTGCAGTTGTGCCAAGTTCTTGCCTTTTCTCTTCTTCTTTTTATTTATTTTTTTTCGTTAACCGTTCCCTGGGAGATGAGGGGCTGTTTGTTTGTTTTTAGAAGGGGAAGAGGTGTATATGTCTGTTTACTTTTGCCTAAAGCCCTAAATGGCTATTGTATCAGTTATCCTTTTTATTCTTTGAATTGTAACATTCGTCGTGGACAGAGGGTCTTGCTTATAACAGGATTCCAACTATAGCAGGGTTTTAAGAAATCCCAGAGTTCAAATTCCTTTAATGTCTACTTTTTAAAAAGTTCTGAAATAGCAGGCAATTAGACAGACATCCTTGACAGTGGTCCCACCAACCACAAAATCCTATGAAAAAACAAATGAACAAAACAGCAGAAAAAAGCAAAGGAAGGAAAATAACATCAGAAATGGCGAATTGCAACTGCATGGCCCTTAGTGAGTCTTAGAAGTTGATTGTGTACACATTTTATGATGTGTCAACCATGTGTGAAGGGGGTGGAGGGGGAAAGCTGGTTACACTTTGGTGTTGCTGAAACAAATCCAGTCAATGACTTAGTGTGGCCATGGTCTGGCTCTGCTTCATCATATTGTCTCCCCTTGGGGTTGTGAAAATTGTAAGTTTGCAACACTAGAAACAGGAATGATGTGGTTGAATAAAAATAGGCATATGGTTCTAGATCTTCTGCATATATTATGTCTGTGTGTGTGTGTGTTCCTTTTCCTAACTGTGGTAACTATTCAGTTATGAATAATTGTTAGGAAATTATTGTTATCTAAGCATCTCAAATCATGTGAAGTCAACTTCCATGAGGCTAGAAATAAAGATACGGTACTAGAAAAAGGAAAGATAGCGATGAGCAGAGCATAGAAAATTACTGAAAAAGAAAGGGGCAATAACCGATAAATCAGTAGTAAGAATCTATCCTGTTGGTAATGTATGTAAAAAAAAATTATCCCATTCTTTTATCATTAGCATTGTAACAGTGTAGTAAACCGACATCTGTAACGGGATTTTGCTTTAACACGGATATCATGGCAATCCTGTTGTACCCGGGGCTCACTATATGAATGTGGGATACAGGATGGTCGTGCTTGGTTGGCGTATGCTCTGGTGTGGTTTGCTCCTTTTTTGTCTTCTATCAAACATCTATCGTCCTTATTTCACCTTCTCTTTTGTGTTTGTTTCTCTCTGGTAACACCTAATATTTGGCACTTATATGACCTTCTTTGGCACTTATATGACCTTATTGTGTTGCAAGTGCTGTAAAACTTTACTAAAACTAAGAGAAGTATGGTAAATCTCCATTCTTTGGGTATGGTCATGGAAGCACTGAAGTATAGATTATGTATTGTTTTTGGTGACTTTATTAAATCTCAATGAATTTGTCTGGTAGTCAAAATTTTTCTCATCTGTTTTGCCTTCGTTTTGTATTATTGTGAGAAATCTAAATGAAGTGGATAAAACGTTTGAAATTTGCTGCTAAAATGGTTTAGACAGGGCTTGAATTTCATTAATGTTTTTCTTTTTCATCTGTCTTCAGGAGGCATTGGAAGAATCTGATGACTCTGATGAGGAAGACTTGTAACGACTGTACATAGACTCATCTACATAAAAGCTCTCCGCAGTTTTTGTATGAAAGAGAAGAGAGGATCCACCAAATTCTCTGTTTGTCAGTGTTACTGCATGTGAAATTTGTGCTTGATTGAGAGAAAGATTGCTGTTTGTGGATTTGGTACAAGGTTGTTGGTTTTTTGTGATTAATAAATGGATTTGTCACTTAAAACTGATACACATATTTTTGTCTTTATCAAATTTCATTTAATTAAGTTTTCATGTTGGAGTGTTTATTTTCTCTCACATTTTCTTACTTCTCCATTTTCGCTCACACAATTACTCTACTTTATAGTGTTTCTGTTTTTAGTTTAATAAGTAAACATTCAGGGAAATTTTGTACCAGTTTGGGTTGGAAAACACAAGGGTTATGTGTGTCTGAGAGATATGAACAAAATGATAAATAAATTGTTCTCTGCTTCAGACTTTAAAAATGTGAACATATATTTTGAATTGGAGTAGAGGAGCAAAGCATAGTGGATTGGAGACCCAGCAGCAAGTTCTGCTAACAATAATGGGGATGTGTTTTCACTGTTAAAGATGGGCTCAGTTTTCATGATATTGTCTCTTTTCATCATAATGATCGTCATGTGGATATGTGAGGCATACGAGAGGCTGTGTAAGTCAACTGGCTGCTATGGTTTGTTTTAATAAAGATGGTCATTGATGTTGCTGAAGTTTGTTTTTTATTCATTTATTGTATTTTCCTAGTTGTTATATGTGTAAAGTGTGAAGAGTTGAGCATGCTACAAGGTTGTTCTGTGCTATCTATCTCTCATTCATCTAATTGGTCTTTTTTTTTTTTTTTTACATAACATCTGCCTTTGCTGTTTTTGACACAAGAATCAATTGATTGTGTGATTTCTGTGCCCTTCAGTTTTGTTGTTTGTAGCCTTACTGTGAAGTCTGCTTAAACCAAGACTTGCGAGATGCCGAACTTTCTTTGGTTTAGAGAAGTCACTGAAATAGGAGAATAAAACTCTAGGATTGTACTGTCAAACCTCGCCACCCTTGGGACAGGCATGAAATGAAGTTGGCAGAACAGTAGGGCTGGCGGTTCAACTTCAACGGGGTTTCTCTGTTGTATGGCCCAGACTGCCCAAGGGCAAGGAACATGATTCTGCTTTATGGTCTGTATTTGAAAAGTGTCCTTTTCTTGGATATAACATGTGCATGCACATGTATTCAGAGCTGAGAGTCTTCTCTTTGCTTTCTCTATTTTTATGTCTCTCTGGTGGGAGAAAGATTATCAAGTAACCAACCAGTGGGTGCTGTGCAGTGTGTACCTTTGATGTTGTTGCTCTCTTGTAACATCTCTGTGGGCGGTTGGCGGGCACTCTGGTATGGTTTGCTCCTTCTTTACTATCAAACATCTATCGTCCTTATCTCCCCTTCTTCTTTTTTATGTTTGTTACTCCCTTGTAACACCTCTAATCTTCTGGCGCTCATATGACCTTGTGGGGTTGCGAGCGCCGTAAAACCTGTACTAAAACTAAACGAACACCTCTAATCTTCGGCACTTATAGTTATACATTGTATGACCTTTTTGTGTTGCCAGTGCAGTGAAACTCTTACTAAAACTATCCTCCCCAGATTCCATTGGAAGAGCAGGACTTGGTTGGTGGTTGGCCGGTGCTCTGGTGTGGTTTGCACCTTCTTTTCAATGAAACTTCTATCATCCTTATATCTCCTTTAATTTTTTCATGAGACTGTGGGTTTGGGGGTTCGAGCCCCGGCTCGATTCAATGTTGTCCTTGGGGAAAGGCATGTTACACAAATTTCCCTCATGGCTCGGTCGTTTTTGAGATGGACTGTAAAATAGGAGGTCCCGCCTCTTAAATAATCTAATAGTGTTGATAGGGGGTGTTAAACCTATACCATTTCACCATTTTCACCTTCTTTTTTTTAGGATGCCTTATCTGTATGTTACTATCTGAATCTAGTAAACCTCTATATCTTCAGATCTTATATATTATGACCTAATTGTGTTTCAAGTGGCGTAGAATGAAACACATAATTTCCTAGTGTTGTTACAGCGTCCCAACAGGAAAAACAGAATCGAATCTCCAATACCAAATTTCGATTGCCATGCCTAAATTAAGGCCGAGACAGGCATTGTCTATTGAAACAGCAGAAGCAAAGTGTGAACAAAACGACGGTCAAATACTGTCGAAATTATCCAGAACGGCCAATCACTGACGAGGAAAAAAGTGGTCGCCATAGAGAAGTGGTCGTCTTACACAGGGTCATTATAATGTAAAAAAAATACAAAAGGGAGAAATGGGAAATGGCTGTTTGTATTATTATATAGAGGTGATTGTCTTACTACCTGTATATATTATATATACCCGGTACAGATAGTCGTTAGAGCACGTTCGGCTGCACCTGCTTATGAGTAGTAAGAGGAGAAAATTGATACAGATTTCCCACCCCCCAAAAAAAGAACACACACACTCACACAAGGGTCTCTCGTGGCCTAGAGGTTAAGGTGTTGGCCTCTCATTCAAAAGGTCCCGGATTCGAATCCGGGTAGCGACCGAAAATTTTTCTCCTCTAAAATGGTCTCCTTTCACCTTCTTTCCTGCTCTCTAGCAATGTTCTGTTGTCTTCTTTCATTTCCACTTTCTGCCCCCACCCCTCACCTCCTTTGCCCCCTCCGCTGGGCTCCTGACTCTTTCTGCAGCCTTTCTACTGCTACTCCTAGGCTCCTCCTTACTGCTGTCTTTCTGCCACACCCCTGATCTTCTGGTAGGAAAGATCTACACCTAGCCTTCTCGGACAA